AAACTAAAACATTCAATCCAAAAATTGGACGAAAAGATAGCTATAACTGCTATATAACAACACAAAAATTCACTACGTTACTCAAAAGTCGAAAACCGAATGGAGTAAGTAAAAATATACAAAATAAAAAAATAAGTAAATAAATAAGAAAAAACAAGTAAAAATGAATCCAAATAAATAGATGGCCAAATTAACAATTCGTTCCCGCTAACATGACCTTTAGAACTAATAAAAATAAATATATATAATCAAAAACAAGTACAAATAATGAATCCCCATAAATAAATAAAATAATAAACAAATTAAAAAATGCCCCAGCCCAAATAACAGGATAGACTACGGCAATCAATCGAAAAATTGTACGAATAAAAAGCTTTATCTTCCCAGGCCAAAACAAACTATTAAATAAGCGACCTAAGTAAATCCCGACAAATGTTATTTACCGTGTTTATAAAACAACGAAAACCGAAAAGAATAACTAAATATTTAAAATAAAAAATGAAAATAAAAAACAAGTAAAATAAATATATATAGTCGAGAAAAAATCCAACGTTCACGGCCTGACGATTGTGTCTAGCATGAAACAGCCTGTCACCTCTGAGTGTTGACTTCAATGTTGACTTATATATATATATATATATATATATATATACAATATTAGATAACAATATATATTTTTTTATATATCAAGAACTAATATTGAGGAAAAAAATGTATAACAACGCGGAAAAGGTTCTCGTGTGATGCGTTTGGTCCGATGAAGTCCAAAAGGGCGAAACGCGTCGTACGCAGACTTTTTTTTTTCCATTTCGTCATACATTCTTTTTACCCAAAAACAATATTAATGAAACGAACTGTCCTTTTACAGATACATTTGCAGTTATATCTGAAAATTTAAACACGCGCACATATAGTTAAGAGAGAATATATATATATATATATATATATATATATATATATATATATATGTATATATATATATATATATATATATATATATATATATATATATATGTATATATATGTATATATATATATATATATATATATATATATATATATATATATATATATATACATTATGGATTTAAAATGAACAAAGCATTGAGGAAAGGAAATGTTATCTTTCTGTAGAGCTGAAATGCAAAGAGATTATCGAAGGGCGTTTGAAATAGATTTACCAACATGGTTCATTACTGCTCACATTAGATATAAATTTGCCGCAGAAGGAACTGTTCAAAGTGTCCATGGAATCATCCCGGAAGACCGCGGATGTCCACGAACGCAAGAAGCGTAGAAAGGATACAGAATATCCTGCATCATTTTCCAAGAAATCGAATTTAGCAAATGATATATGCCTTTCAAAATCCAGTATCTCTCACCCTTGAAAGTACGTTCATTTTGGAATACCTTATATCTCTATTAGTCACTACTCTCAATGATCCTGATTGTTTTGATATGAGAACCCATTTTGAGAAAGATGTACGGATTGGGCGAAGAGGCAACATTGAATATTTATAGTGTTCAGCAAATCGAATAGATAACACGAAATGAAATGAATTCAGCCAAATACCAAAGTGATTCGAGATGCATGCAATTGCGATGGTTCTCATTATTATCTGGACGTATTGCAACCGTTCAAAATGATTCTACAATATCTTCTTTAATGTGAAATCTAAGTGTTGAAACCTAGGGAAGGATACTGAATAGAATAATCACACGATGGTTGTTAATGAATGATAATACTTAGAACAAGAACAACACATATAAGATTCACCAGCGGCGCGTAGAAGAAGTAGTCAACTGCTAGAAGTGAGTCAAGTGAATTCCACAATGAATTTCTAACTGCAGGATATTTACCAACCGCCTCACGCGGTCAGATGTAGCACAAAGACAAATGTAATGTGGGGTACCCGAGCCTGTAGGCTCTGCCAAAATTTCCCCGGGGCCGGGTATCTGTTTCCTGTGACGAAACTGTCTTCGACATAGCTTCGTCTAGGGATCCTCTCTGCCCGGAGTTTGGCCAGCACAACTGGAGAAGACTCTCCAACTGCTGGATAACTACCAACCGTCCCACGCGTTCAGATGTGGCTCAAGGCCATATGTAATGTGGGGTATCCGAGCTCGTAGGCTCGGCCCAAAATTTCCCGTAGACACCGTATAAAACGGGGCCAGGTATCTGTTTTCCGAGACGAGACTCTGCCCTTCCACATAGCCTCGTCTGTGGACCCTCTCTGCCCGGAGGCAGAGAGTTTGACCAGCATAGCTGGAGACGAATCTCCAACTGCACACCAACATACAGTATTTACTACTGTATTTATGTGAATGGGGACATACCCATTATCGTCCGTACGTATGCTACAACACTAAGTGAGATATTTTGATGGACATAGTGTAAATAAATATTTAAGATGTATTTCTGTTAACTGGAATTGAACCCGGAAGCGAGAGGAACTTTTACTTTTGCTTATTGCTGCCCACTTTACTTTACCTCTACTCGACGAAATGTAAATATTCCAACAAGTTAAACGATTCAAATAATGTCAAAAATAGGATCATTCTACATGGTATATGCAATTTTTTCTTTTATTTAGGATGTATGTTTCGGAAATTGAACTCTCTTTGTGCAATGAATATCAGAACGAAAAGGATTATCTATGATTAGTGACTAGGGTGGCCGTTTTTCACATGAATCCGGTTTTGATGTAAACAATTTCTCGACAGACAGTTGAAACTGGTTTTCATTGCAGAAAGTCATCTTATGTTTTACAGTGATGGAAAAAGGCAATAACCGGTTGGTGCAAGGTCAGGTAAATATGGCAGTTGGGGTTGAACAGTCTGTGGGACTACCCCCAATTGCTCCGCTAAGATGATCTTAGGCGGCTGTGTTTAAGTACTATAAAAGAAGTAACACAATCCTTCTATTTCTCTTTGTATTTGCCAGAAATGGTAGCAGTGTCGACACACGAACCTTCGTACGTGCTGGGGATAATATCTTTTTCTCTGTATGTCTGAACTTTCACATACACACACGTATATCATGCACATGCATACACACACACACATTTCCTACCAGCTAAGTTTCGTGTTTTTTCATCCTTTTTAGCTGTGTACATTCTAAAATATTTCTATTTGTTAATCCTTTTTTTAATCAATTCATCTAAATTAAGGCGATAATGCCACTGAGAGGCAATTGTCTACCGGAATGAAAGCGAATGAAAAGACTTTTGAAGGAATCGAAAACCCAATCCTAAACCGGGAATAAGCCATAAACCTCTGCTCCTTTTAAAAAAAAAACGCAAAGGAATGTGAACAGGACGACACGCGAATCTATCTATTCCTATTGATGAAAAAATAAATAAATAATTAGTAAATAAAATTTGTGTGTTCAGATGAAGACGTTATAATACAGAGTTTAATAGTCTTTAGAAGGAACCGGAAGGCCAATCCTAAACAGAAATCAGGAGATAAGCCGGAACTCCTCTTCAAAAGACTGGGACAGACTGTGAACCGGACAACAGGCGAACCTGACTGTTCCTATCGAGGAAAAAAATAATTTGTAAATATCATTTCCGTGTTCAAACGACGACGTTAGAAACAGAGTTGAAGTAGACTATAGAATGAATTGGAAACCTATTCCTAAAGAGGAAACAAGAGATAAACATATACCCGTGATTCAAAAGAATAGGTAGAGTTAACCGGGCGATATGCGAATCTAAAAATAAAAGAAAATACCACCCTTTGAAAGTCCTTCCTTCCACTCATTCCACATTCATTCCATTTCCTTTTATCTTTGCAAATAATGACAAACCGTCATTTACATCTGAAAAAAATATTTGTCACTACTTTTAGATGAGCCAGTGGCTGGTTCCGGTATGTGATCTTGTTTTTTTTTTAGAGGTAAAAAAAAAATCCATATTGACAAGCGAAGGTCGCATTTTGGCCAAAATATTATGGTCAGGTTACCGATGCTGAACTTAAAAGTGTGCATTTTCTTTATCATTACCCCTTGAAAGTTTTAAAAAATACCCTGACAGTCCGACTACGCGTACAATATCATCTCACTTCCATCGAGCTCAGCTTTTTGAATCGATTTTTTTCAAGTTTTATCCTCGTCCATCCATTGCTTTTTGAACTGAACATTATTGTATATAACCCACTTTTCATCACTTTTCATGATATATTTAAGGAACGGTCAGTTAAAATGATAGGCTTATTATTAAAATTGGTTCCTCAAAATCGAATTACTTTTAAGCTTATTGTCTGTCCACACCAGCAGACACTGATGATCTATGGAAGAGATTAAGTGAAAAAAAGGCCTCTTCAATCCTCTGGCTGTTTTTAGAAATGTTGTTATGTGGATGGTCGTGTCTCTTTTGATTTCAAGTCGCTCTAGTGTTTTTTTCTTGACTCCAGGAGAACGTTCAAAGCACTCATCTAACCATAAAGTACTATGTTTTTATTACTAGTATGTTTTAGAAGATATTCTCCTCTCATTTCTCGTCCCTTCCTTCATTAAAGATTTTTGTAATTTTCTTCATAGTTTTCTTCTTTGATTTCGTTTTTTCTTTCTTCCATTCTTTCTTTCGTTCTTTCTTCATCACTTTCATTTTTTCCTTTTTTTCTTTCATTTCTTTTTCGATATAGTTTTTCTCTTTTCGCTTTTGTTCTTTTTTTCTTTATATTTTTATTTCTTTCTCTTCTCTTTGATTCTTTTCCATTATTTGAATTCGTTATTTTCTTCTTCTTTCATGTTTCTTCATTTTCTCTTCTTCTTTTTTTGATTCATGGTTCTTTATTTCTTCATTCTTTTTTTCTCCTTTTTTTGTTTCTTGCCTCATCACTCCTTTCTTTCTCAATTATCTTTTTTTGGTTTCTCTTTCTTTCTTTTTTTCTTTCTTTCTTTCTTTCTTTGAGATCATTTTTCTCTCATTTTATTCCTTTCATTTTCTGATGTTTTCTCTGCTTTCCTTCTTCTAAGTTTTCTGATTCTTATGTTTATGTTTCATTTTCTTCTTTCCTTCTACGCCTTCATTTGCTTCTTTCTACTTTTTTTTCGTCTTCCAATTTTTCTTATTCTACTTTTTCTTCCCTTCGTTTACTCATTCTTTTACTTCCGTTTTCTTCCTTTCTTTTTCTGTGTTTCTTTCTTGTCATTTATTTTCTTCTTCCAGTTAATTTATTTTCTTCTTCTTCTTCTTAAATTTTCTGTTTCCTGCTCTTCTTTCTTATCTTACCTTGTCTGCTTTTCTTATATATTTTCTTCATCGACTTTCTTTTCTTCGTTTTCCTTTTTTTATTATTCCTTCTTCGAGATCATTTATTTTCCTATAGTTTCTTTTCATCCTTTTCTTCCTTCGTTCGTTTCTACTGTTTCTTCTTCTCTTTCTGCTTCTTCTTCGCCGTTTTTTTTTGTCTTCCTCTTCTTTCATCTGTGTCTTTATCTTCTTTCTTTCTTACTTTCTCTAGCCTCTTGTCAGTTCAGTATCCTCTTCGGCTCATCTTTTGATTTCACTGACCAAGCAATTTTCTACGAAAATAAACCACGATTAAATAAATTCTTTTTTTTTTTCAAAAATACTCATTTATTTCTTAATATCTTTTTCTTTCTTTCCTTTTTATCCAAATTTTACCAATATCAGAAAATTAGACACCGGGGAGTTAGGAATGCGATTCCAATCAGAAATGAAATATCGATTTGGATCTGCCCAAGTGGAGAGTATTATGACTAG